CTGATGCTTCTCACCGTGGATGTGTCACTCTGTGCAACCGAAGACACATCCACTGATGTGGTTCCCATGGCACTGATAAACCTTTGATGAGTTTCTTTTGTGTTTTTTGATTGGCCGGTCTTCTTAGGTGCGTGCAAAGGACCTGTTGTTTTTGTTCGAAACAATCTCAGTCCTTCTCTGGTCCAGGGCCGAGGAGATCTGGGTTGAAGCAGATTCTCTTCGATAAAGAGGTTATCTGGACCGTCACCGCTCAAACCATGATACTCAAAAACTAAAAGAAAGAGAGGAAAAAGATTTGAGCACCACAAGAAAATGTTAGAAGCAGAGTTGAAATACAATCAGAGTTCTGCTGTTTGTTAGCTGAGAGCCAGCAAAGCTTCTGTGACCATCTCTCACTGCTACGACACATCCTGAACTGTACAAATGAATATAATTATACATCCAGAATAAACACTTCTCTCGTTGCTTTAATGCCGCTTAAGGTAACAGACAGATTGCACTCACAGTTCTCTCCAGGCTCCCCATCATCTGCCACCATCGGATCAGGCTCAGATTTATAAAAAGTCATTCCTCTGATAATCATTCCAGATGATCCAGCCTTTGACACCTGAGAAGCCTCCTTATTAGCGCTACTTTTGAGGGTCACCTGAGGTCTGACCTCAGTGATCTGACCAGAGCCGTCTGTGTGTAAGAAGGGTTGATTTTCCGCAATGAGCTTCCCGTCAAACTTTTCCTGTTAGACAACAAGGCACACACAACTTCTGAGGAAATCGTTCACTCTGTATTAAGAAGAGATCAATTACGACCCTTTGGCTATAAACTGTACAAACAGCTGTCAAGAATTTGGATTGGTGTAACAAAGACATTTGTGAAATCTTTCAAAAAGTACGTTATGTTTTTTATTTTTTACTACCAGCAAAAGAGAATTTGGAGTTGTGTAAATAATGAGTCGGTGTGTGGCAAAGAAACTGTGTTCAGATCTGGTGAGAAGAATAGCATAGAAGAGCTGAAACTCCAACAAGCTACAATGATCCCAAATGATCCCACAGTGCAGAGGAAAGTTTTAATCAAAAACCTAATCTAAAACATTTGCCTTGTTTTACTGTCACTTTAATAACCTTGTTGGACGTTTCCTGTAAATTTTCTAGTGAATCAACTGTGTTTAAAGTCCAAGACCATGCAATCCTCCTGGATGGGCTCTCAAGTTTATACTCAAGCTGTCGGGGCCCAGGGCCCAGCAGTATGCTCTGTGGTCTGAGGTCTGCTATCGTCCTGCCAATCCTTTCAATTACATCAATAACTTTCTTTTACACATTTCTGGGCCTTAATCATGGAGACAATGATTTTTATGAAGGACTTTGTGGAAAGAACACGTAATTGTTCCTTTTGCTTTGGAGGAATGTTAGCAGGCTAAACAGAAACATCTGACTGTGATCACTTCTTTGATACGTGTTTCCTTCAGCCAAAGCCTTGCATTCAATATGAAATATCAGTGGTGCAAATTAAAAGTGACTCCTGATACAATGCTATCTCAGTATATTACCCATGATGGCATGATGTACTGCAATCATGCAGTACTTGATGCAATACTTACTGAACAATGTAGGTTTTCTCATTTTTAGTAACAAACATTTGCAGTTGAAAATAATTTTATTGTAGCTGTATTTAAATAGTTAATAAGCAAACAGTTATTTCACTAAATACAGGGAAATAATTACCTGTAGAACCCGGTAATTGTTTAGTTGCTACTATGTTATTACAGCGTCTCCATAGATTAAGCCTGTGATATCAGTATTGTCACACTTACCTCTGGGTCTTGATTGGCTGCTGCCCTGCTGACCTCACCAACTGTCTTCCCATCCTTATGCTGATTTGGAAGAGGAGTAGGTGGGCTTTCAGTCACACTTCCTTGAACAGAAGTACTTTCCCAAAACTTCACCTCATCCACAGATGGATGCAGAGACACCAACTGCATGCAAACATGGTGAAAGGTAAACAGACTGGTTCTTATAGAGCGCTTTACTCTCGAGTATTCAAAACACTTTATACACTTTGCCTCATTCACTTTTCTCTATTTTCTAACATTTACACACATCTCTCTACAAGTGACCGATTCATTTGCTATAAATGAAAATAATTGCTATGAATATAACATTAGATGTGCCTGAGTATAAGCCATCAGGCGAGTAAGCTGTTTGGGGCTGTATTTCTGGAGGTAGAGCAGGTCATCTAATTAAAAGGTTGGTGGTTTGATCCCTGGCTGCTCCAGTCTGCATGCCAAAGTATTCTTGAGCAAGATACTGTACCCCAAGTTTCTCTTCGATGGGTTCATTAAAGTGTGAATATTAGACAGAAAAAAACGCTTGTGTGAATGAAGCACATCGTATAAAATGCTTAAGTGGAGTAAAAAGTGTTAGTTAGAGATAAATGTACTTTATGTAGGCAAAATTTGTTGTCTAATTTAATGACAAAAACTACAAACTTTCTTGGTTTGTGAACTGAATAGGGAATAGTTAGTTACAGTATTTGGTTTTCCCTTCGATAATATTCACATTTTGCACCAATTGTTACCAAGCAAAGACAGAGTTTGCTATGGTGCTAAAGACGGGCAAATACTTATCTGTGGAACTCAGTAGTTATGTAGTTACTATGTTATTACAGTGTCTCAATAGGTTAAGGCTGTGATATATCCATGTTAAGATGTTACACTTACCTCTGGGTCTTGATATGCTGCAGCTCTGCTAACCTCTCCAACTGTCTTTCCATCCTGAGGCTGATGGGGAAGCGGAGTCGGGCTTTCAGTTAAACCTGTTTGACTAGTAGGACCTTCCCTGGGCTTCACCTCATCCAAAGGTGGATTCAGAGACACCGCCTAAATGCAAACATGGATACATCAAGCTACTAACATAAGTGTTATATTTTTGTTAACGATCAGCAATCATAACACTAGCAGAGGAAGAAAAAGTATTTTGTTAATATATTAATATGAATTAAATCAGGAAATCAGTTTTAAAGCAGCAAAAACAATGACACACATAAAAAAACATCTTGTAGCCAGTTGTAGACCTCGTTTCAACTCTGTGGTTCAACTTTGGTAGGTGCAGGCTCCTATCTTTATTTTTTGGCGAACAGACTGACAGCACGCTCTGACAGGTGTTTTCAGTTATGAGAGTTATACTCTCGTCTGCATAAGCATGCAACCCTCTGGTTCATTTTGCTGCACCTGTTCGAGGGGAAAAACTTGATGGTTTATGTTGCTATTGGCTCATTTCAGTATATGGAGTTCAGTGAGTTCAACAAACTCCCAACTGCTTCACTCGAAGTCCATGTGAGAAGAGCATAAACATTCAGGTAATGTATTAAATGTGCTGCTTTTAGGTAATTTGGAACTTCTATATGTTCGTGCTGTAATTACAGTTTTGCTCTTGTGTAAGTTTATAGACTAAAGCCCAACAAACACGTACTGTAAAAAAATGTCTGGTAATTTACTGACTAAGAAAAAGGATCCAAAGATCCAAAGAAAAGCTCTGGCAGATAAAGTTCCACATGTAACAGAAACTCTGAGCACTGCTTCCTGGTCAAGCTTCTTGTAAATCTGAAAACAGCACCTAAGGGAGTCTTTAACAGGACCTCCAGAAGCCACCACTACACGCACACCTGTTAGGGAGAGTTAGCATGTGTTTTCTGTTGCGCTACCTTTTCGATGTGATCCACGCGATCAATGAGCTTGTTGGTAACGGAGTGCAGCTTCAGTAGATCCATGCCATAGAAGGATCCCTCCAGCAGCTCAAGTATGGTGGACAGCTAAAACAACAACAACAACAACAAATGATCAAGTGAATTCCGTCAAAGTTAAAGAATTCATAACATAGAATGCATGAAGTAGGTACATCCCCAGTCCATTCAAACTCTGGTTGTGGTAAAATATTGATTATCCTTTTCGGAAATCGATAAATATCAGACATCCATGCCACCAGGGGTCCAGGTCCATCTACAAATCAACAGTCAGATGTCGCTGGAGCATGAACACCTGCGGGGAGGCTCTGGCATGATAAATGGTCAGGAGGAAACTTCACCTTGACATTTTCGTTCCCAGCTTCCCTAAGCTTTTTCAGCCTGTACTCTCCCTCGCAGGGGTTGACCGCTGATGGTGGGGCGATGCAGGCGCACTTGCACTCCGGTCCAGAAGTGATGGTCTCCACGGTGTAGAAGTCCTGCGCAGACGCGCTCCCTTCTTCTATCCGTCGACAGGCGCTCCTGCTCAGGGGTCTGACAACACATTTACACCGACAGTCAGAGCCTTCCGACAGGGCTTTCACTTTGTCATAATCACCCAGCAGCTATAAAGAGAAGAGGACGGATGTATTTTCCACCAGCAATCGGGAACTTTTCAATTTTTGCGCACAAAGTGTAAAATGCAGGATATAAGGAAACACATTAAATGAGCTATTTATCCTACCTTGGAGAGAATGTTCTGTCGGCCTTCTATCTCCTCTTGCAGTCTGTCATTTTGCTCTGCACTGCTCTCAAGTTGGGACCTGGGATTTTCAGCCAGGGGCTTTGGCGCTCCAGATCCCCATGGAAAAAACGCGCAGCTTATCACGATGACAAAGCCTAACTTGTACATTATGTGAGGCTCGTAGTGCGCAGATAAAAGAAATAACAAATAGCCCGTCACCAATAAATTCAGGTGCACGAAAAAGTCATAGCCTACCTCTGATTTTAAAAATCAGAGAGTGCGTGAAAAAATGACATCAAATATCCGGATTAGGTTTTATGGGTCATCGTTTTCAGAGTCACAATGAACGCAGACTGATGAGACTGAAGAAAGAGTGCACCCTGTGGGAGAGCAGCCGGCATCTGGTGCTGGAGCAACGCTGACAGGAGGCGGGCCTGATCAAACTGGCGAGGAGGAGTTGAACTGCTTCAAAAGACTTCAGAGACATGATGTGCAGCTTGTTAGTGTTAGTCATGATTAAAATGCAACCCCCAAACTCGGATTTTATTTCAGGTTCAATTTAATTTGCAGTTCCAGATTAAAGAAGGTGTAGCTTGACTTCATATGCAAACTTTATGCTGCTTTTCAAAATGCCACCAAGCCTTTTCACAGACGCTGGAGACAAGTTTCAGATGTGGATTTGCTGCCCTCTGGTGGCAACAGTGTTCATTCCAGTCACAAAAGACATTTAAAATTCTTCAGCGTTTATTTTTTACTTTAAGGCACATATAATTTATGTACTTATCTTCATTTTTTATCCCGTAGTGTAACGCGTACATGTACATATAGACAAAAAGGACTTTGTATGTTCAGTTAAGGCATGTCGGTGCCATGCAAGTTTCCGAATCACAGAAGACATTTGCAATAACAATTAAAAACCCCATTGCTGTGATACCAAAAGAATTGTTCTTCCTTCTATCTTGTGACTCCAAGTATTTATTAAAATGCAGAAATTACCTTCAAAATTTTAAATATAATGCAGAGACCAAATAAACTTACAATTATCTGTTCATAATTACATCTGATCAGAGAAATGACTTTAAATCCCATACCATAATGATTCTCATTCATTCTGAAAGTCCACATCTGTATATTCAATATCCTTGAGGTCTACTACCTCCCAAATGATGAATTACCCAGCTTAGTGCCCAGATTAAAAGTTCAGACTAGAATGAATGCTTCTGCTCTCTAGCACCCTTCAAGCTCTATTCTCTGCTCTGCTGCCACGGGGAGGATAAGGTGAGAAATACGACTCCACAGTCCACCATATTTGTCCAGGTCCATCATGTCAAAAGACACTGGGTGGCCATGAGTGAGGAATTTTTTTTGAAGGTGGTCATCCACCATCTCCTCAACAGCACACAAGCTAATCTTAGCAGGAATCTCGTCTTCTTCCCCCAGCAGTACAGTGAAGATCAGAAAAGTTTTCTTGTATGCGGCATTCTCGTGGTCGCAATAACGATAAAAAATTAGCGTGGAGCCCGGAGGTAGCTCTTCAAAGCGATGAATGACGGCTACAGGTTTGTCTCCATCAAAAGCTCCCTGCAACTTCCTGTCAATGTCCAGTTTGACGTGGTCACTGTCCTGGCTGGCTTTGCTGGCTCCATCTATGTGGAGGACGGAGGCGTTCACGGCAGAAGAGTAGGCAGAGGCCAGGTCCCGAGCTAGGCAGTTCAGCGTCTTCTCAGCTCTGAGGCCTGCAGTGAGAATCAGACTCACGGGCTCCGTGGGCTGTGTGGTCTGAAGGTGTCTCTTAAGGTGGATCCTGCCCCTATTCCAGAGCTCAGCACGCTGGTTAGGAAACCGAGTCTTTACTTTTTCCAGCTGCCTGAGGAAGACGTCTATCTTCGGTACATCATTCGTCTGAGGCGGAGATTCTGGCTGAAGAAAATGCAGCGCGATAGCAACAATTGCCACTACTATAGCAACTGCTAGCAAGTATTTTCCACTTCCTACGGAGAAAAGGCCAGTGTTATTTAAACATCTACTTCATAACAAAAAGAATTATTAAAAAAAAAAAGAAGAACTATTACAAAAAAAAGAACAAATGTACTAAGATTACCGCTAGTAACTTGTGGATCTTCAGTTTGACTAGCCTCTGGGGTGGTAGGACCGATGTTTTCAACATTATTACCGTGGTCATCTAACTGCTGTGTTGGGCTCTCAGGTTCTTGCCGTCTTTCCTTTGAAGCTGAAAAATTGTTCACGGGGAAAAAACAAGTTTACACAAATAAAACATGGTAAAGAAAAGAAAAAACTTAAACACTTCCAGTTTCCTCGTGGAGTCATAGAAAGTCAGCAGACTGAAGCAAAAAGTTTAAGGAACAAATTCTAATCCGTGATGTTCCAAAAAGTTCTGACTCACCATCTCCAAATTTATTATCTGACTTGTTCGTGGCTGAGATGTTTTTCTTTAGCTCAGGTTCCGGTTCATCGCCCTGGTCATTCGCTTTGTCATTTGGGATTTGTAAAGTTAATTCTGATGGTTTGTTCGTTGTGACGCGACTTTCATCTAACGAAATAAAAACAGTTTAACTTTCACAACATCCTAAGACTTTGGATCTCTAAATATTTCTGATTCTTGTGTCCCATAAGATTAAGCAAGTGCTTCATCTTTAAATATGACTAGAAAACTTTTATTACAGCAGTAGTTTCCTTTTTAATCTTAGAACAACAAGGCTAAATGTATGTTTTAAACCAAAGTAAATATAGACTTTGTCTTTCAAATAAATCCATAATAATATCTGAATCAGCTGATACAATACTCTGACAGGAACACTAACCTGATTTTGGCTCTATCGTGACTTGATTCTCATTTTTTGATAACAATTGTTTGCCATCAGTTTGACTAGGATTGCTTTTCTTCTCCGTCTGTGTGCTGTCCTTATCGGGAGAATGTGCTTCTGCAACAGGTCGCACCTCTTTTTTAGACGAATCCCTGTCTGCAATAAGCACGTGACTCATTTATGTTAATTGCCCATGAAATCTGTCATATCTATTCAAGATCCCACACGTGGTCTCTTTAATATTCCTTCCTTACCTTGAATAGTGTCACTGAAGTCAGCAGGTTGAGATGGTAAAGCTGTGGCTGATTAAACAGGATCAAAGCATTTTTTGATCAGTAGAAACATTTGGTAACAAATGTTCTCTTGACTCTGAACAGTTGAACAATTTACCTGCTGTAACTGTGTGTTCCTGAAAATGAGCCTGATCACTGTCTAAGTTCTCACAGGATCCGTCTTCATTTGTATTCGTTGACTGTGTTTCACCTTTACTGAACTCTGTAAAAAAGAAATCACAGTTTTGTTTGTGGAGTCACAGAAAGTTAGCTGACTGAAGCAAAAAAGAATTCTAATCAGTGATGTTTCAGAAAGGTCAGACTCACGGTCTCCAGGCTGACAGTCTGTGTTGTCCTTGGCTGAGATTTCTTTTTTCTCACTTTCGCCTCCATCTATCCGATCATCTTGTTTATCTTGGGTTGGTGGAACAGTTGTTTCAGATGCTCCCTGTGTCGTGGTTTGACTTGTGTCTGTTGAAATAAAAATAGTTTAACTTCCATAGCAACCTAGGACTTCCGATCTCTACATATTTAATATTATTGTGCCCCAAAAATCATCTTGGATCAGGCATCTGCAGCATCCTTAATGGAGATTTCTTTTAACAAAGACCAGGGCAACAGTAATTCCCCTTTCAAACTTAGAACAATAAGACTGACAATAGGTGAGATATGGAACATTTTCAGAAAACTTGACCTCCGACCTTGACCTTAAGTTGAGGTCACTGGGATTCAAACTCATCCAAGGTTTTATTAGATGCACCTATGGTACGAATTCCAAAATCCTATGTCGCCTCATTCTCGACTTATCACATTCAAAAACTTGGGTGCTAGCTCCACCCACCCGGCAGGGTGCCGATGATACCCCATTAGCTTTTTATGGCTGAGGGATAAAAATCATCCTGATCATTGAAAATCTGTTCTAAGTCCAGCAGCAACAAAAAGAAAAGCTGCGATCTGTTGGAACACAGGAAGACAGAGTCCTGCTTTTTCTTCTTTTGTCTTCCACTTCTTCACCTTCCTCTGTTTTTCAAGAACACACTGCACACCATGCTGAGTATGCCAAGTTTGATCTCAACAGTTCTTTAGGAATCACCTGTTTTAGTGCAAAATGCCCATCTTTAGCATATTTTAGAGCTCAGGTGGAAAAAATTATATGTTTTTAGCAAAGTAACAAAGATCCTAAAATACAATTCAAAATCAGTTCTTTGTTGTCTGTTACAACAGCGGTTCATCCCTTGAAAATGAGTGAAAAAGCACTCAGTGTCCAAAGAAACGTTTTAAAACTCCTTCAGAAAGCCCGGAGAACTCTGTCATTGCTATTTAACAATAAAGTCTGCCTCCTTGGAAGAAAAAAGAAAGGAGGAAAAATGAGGGGTGGCTCAAGACTTATGTCTATAACAAGATTTGTAAAATGAATATGGCCATTTTAGGAGCACAGCAGTAACAAAACTTACAAATGACTAATAACTAAGACAAACAATGCTGGTTGATGATGTTCCAAAGTGGGGTATATAATATAACTGA